GAGGGTCTCGAGGGCGCCAAGATCTCCTAGCTGCCGCGGGATGTGGCCTGTAGATGAACGAGTCAAAGCAGGGCAGTTTAACGGGATAAAAGCAAAAGATACCTCCCGCTTTCTAGAAGATCCGTCCCGCCAACTAAAGAAAAATCCCCGCGCTTTCCGTACAAAAGTTTCGTGGACGCGTAGGCATCCGCGGGATTCATCGACAGCAGATCATAATGAGAAAATCCAACATGAATATTTAATTGGAATGTACCTGTAAGCTTGTTGCTGGAGAGCCACAGGTTCCGCAGCTTGCTGAGAGCCCCTAGCTCAGGCGGGATGTGGCCTGCAAGCGGACGGGGGGAACGGAAAGCTTTGCGGGACAAAAAAACACAAAGCCCCCGCTTTCTAGAATATCGGTCCCACAACTTGAGTGGAGAGTGCTCCGTTCCCCCCGTCCGCTTGCAGGCCACATCCCGCCTGAGCTAGGGGCTCTCAGCAAGCTGCGGAACCTGTGGCTCTCCAGCAACAAGCTTACAGGTACATTCCAATTAAATATTCATGTTGGATTTTCTCATTATGATCTGCTGTCGATGAATCCCGTAAACTTTTGTACGGAAAGCGCGGGGATTTTTCCTTAGTTGGAGGGACGGATCTTCTAGAAAGCGGGAGGTATCTTTTGCTTTTATCCCGTTAAACTGCCCTGCTTTGACTCGTTCATCTACAGGCCACATCCCGCGGCAGCTAGGAGATCTTGGCGCCCTCGAGACCCTCGACCTCGGATTCAACAAGCTAGAGGGTGAGTTGAGTAGATAAAAAAAAACATTTGTTCTTGCGAATTCTGCACTTCCAGAACATCGGTCCCGCCTACGCACTTGGCGGCATAAAAGTTATCCCGCTAGTTCTGAAGTTTCGTGGACGCGTAGGCCACGAAACTTTTGTACGGAAAGCGCGGGGATTTTTCTTTAGTTGGCGGGACGGATCTTCTAGAAAGCGGGAGGTATCTTTTGCTTTTATCCCGTTAAACTGCCCTGATTTGACTCGTTCATCTACAGGCCACATCCCGCTACAGCTAGGAGATCTTGGCGCCCTCGAGACCCTTGACCTCGGATTCAACGAGCTAGAGGGTGATTTGAGTAGATAAAAACAAACATTGTTTTTCGACTTCTGAACTTCCAGAACATCGGTCCCGCCTACGTACTTGGCGGCATCAAAGTGATCCCGCTAGTTCTGAAGTTTCGTGGACGCGTGTGCGTTGGCGTCCACGCGCAGCCGGATAGTCTGAAATTTGTACCTAATTCTTACCAGATAGTTTATTCCAGCGAAGGTCGAGACTTGTCAGCGCTGCGAGGTTGCCCAGCTCCGGCGGGATGCCGCCTGCCGTCGAAAGTTCAGGGGCAGGACAGATTAAGAGCGGGAAGACAATATATATATATATATGTATACCTACGTAAGTGGACGCCAATGCATACGCGTCCACGAAACTTCAGAACTAGCGGGATAACTGTTATGCCGCCAAGTACATATGCGGCAGTCATGCTCAATTTTATCCAACATTAATATTTAATTGGAATGTACCTGTAAGCTTGTTGCTGGAGAGCCGCAGGACCCGCAGCTTGCTGAGAGCCCCTAGCTCAGGCGNCGTACACGGGACTCGCCGCAAAATCGGTCGTGGAACCGTCATCCAATCATATGTTGACAATCGCTCAGCTGGTTGACCTGAAGGTAGAGCGTCTCCAGTGCTGAAAGTTGCCCAAGCTCCGATGGGATTGGGCCTGCAAGCGGACGGACGGAACGGAGTAGCTCAGCGGGACAAAATAAAACAACCCCCCGCTTTCTAGAACATTGGTCC